CAGAGAGAGAGAGAGAGAGAGAGAGAGAGAGAGAGAGAGAGAGAGAGAGAGAGTGAGTGAGACAGACAGACAGACAGACAGACAGACAGACAGACAGACAGACAGACAGACAGAGAGAAAGAGGGAGAGGGAGAGAGAGAGATTGTGATCAACTGACGGGCTGACAGATAATGACAGGAAGAAAAAATTATGTGTGTGATACGGACTGTTCAATTCTTTAAGAGTTTTATGTTATAATCTAGTTTAAAAATCAAAAAGATGTGTAAAATAAGAAGAAAACTTGTCAGAGTAACATAAAATTATCAAACATACCAAATCAAAAAGATAATCTTTCAAGATGCTAAAATATATAATTATAAGAATGGATGAAAATATACTTTTAAACTGAATTTAAGATATATGATTGTATGATTCTAGGCGTGTGCCATAACTAACTTTATGTGTAAGGAACAGCGAACACAAAAGAGGGTCGATGTTTGCTTTATCTAATTGCTAACAGTATGTCTTGGTCTATAAATAATATTAGGAAGAGGCTAGCCGTACTTAAGTACTTATTCTTAATATGATGGCTAGACTGACCATTTAACAAAAAATAGGCCTACTGAATGGTAAATATACATTTTTAGTGTGCAGTACCTAAAGTATTTGTATTTGAGACGAAACCAGGTGCCTAAATGACAGTGCATGTATTTTAAACCTCCTGTTTTCTAATGTTAATAGGGCCTAAGATAAGTACGGCTAGACTAGCAGTCTAGCCGTACTTAAGTACGGGTAGACAGCCAGGCTAGCCGTACTTAAGGACGGCTAGACTGTCAGGCTAGCCGTACTTAATATTGACGGCTGAATTGTAAATGAAATTTTTAGTTTGCAATGCCTAAAGTATTTGTATTTCAGACAAAACAAAAAGGTGCCTTACTGACTTGCATGTATTTGAACCTGAATAATTACTAGATCTAGATCTAATGAGACCTGTGTACTTAACAGGCTTGAGTCGATAGGGCCAAACCTAGATCTAAGTACGGCTAGACTGGCAGTCTAGCCGTACTTAAGTACGGCTAGCCACTTCGATAATATTATTGATCACAATAATTTTGTTTCCTGGTTTTCACAAAGTGGAGCGCACAATGATTTCAAATATTCCACACAAAAAAGAGATAACAGCACCCTTGGAGGTGTGATCGCATGCATGAGCGTGGATAACCTTTGAAGGGTTTTTTTTTCCAGTAAAGTATGATATGGAGAGCAGCGTTTTTAGTCCCTTATTACACTCCAGAGGGGGATAATTTATCTTAGTGATGACTCTTGTGTGTAGTAAAATTTGTTGTTGCTTTGTTTGGTTTATTTTTTAACAGCAGAATCTTAAGTGAACCGGAATTATTGATTGTGGGATCTTAGGTGAAGACTACAACAATAGAATTAAACCGAGTATAGTTCTATCTAACAAGATTCAAACTCTTATCCACCCCACCCTACCTTCTCCCCTCATCTGATAATGGTTTGGTGTTTCTTTAACATAGAATATATTCATCATTATTGTTGTTGAATATTGATTTCATGTTCTAATGGAGCCTCTAGATATCTACATTTAGACTACAGTAGCATCTAATTTGCACACACAAAGGAAAGCAATATCTTTAATTAAAATGTATAATATGTATATACATACACACACATAATAATTATATAATATATATACTCATAATAATTATATATATTTATGAATAAGAATACTTTTTAAAAATTGAGTATCTCAGTCTTTCCTGCTGGGGTGTTGTATCCCTTTCAGCCTGGGTTGGCCTTGGCATGCAACGGCCGGAGCCAGGCCTCTTAAGGAAGTAAGAGACTAGAATAGTGCTGATGGTGGGATCGAAACCCCGTCCATACATATTGATATAAAAGGGAAACGAACTTAACTTAGAAAGACTGCGGGAGCAATTGCAGGGCTCGATATCGGGTTTCTGGCAGTTACAGATATCAAAAGCTGTGGGGATGGGAAATTTTTACGAAATGTGAAGTGTGCTTGAGATCCCTAAATACACACCTTAAAAAACTGTTGCTTGGCTAGTGAGACTGAGATTAATTCGCAAATCGGATGAGAGCTGATAAACGGTTCGGGGGGACC